CCTTGCTTTTCATCCTCCTCTCTTATGCCTACATCCTGCTGGCCATCTTGCGGATCCGTTCCAATACCGGCCGACGCAAGGCCTTTTCCACCTGCGCTGCTCACGTGATTGTAGTTGCCATCTACTATGGGATGGCAAATGTCAACTACAACCGCCCCAGGGCGGGCTACTCCTTGCAAATCGACACTCTGATCTCCTCCCTGTATTGCTTTGTCACCCCCATGCTCAACCCCCTCATCTACAGCCTTCGGAACAAGGAAGTGAAAGCAGCCCTGAGGAAGTTCCTGGCTGGTCTGAAGAAGGAATATCTTTCCTCCTAAAAGGCTACAAATATCTGCCCGATTATATTAGTTTCATTTGCCCTGTCACGGTAGTTATGCTGTAGAACGGCGCTTTTCCTGCAGGCTTCGGAAAGATGGCTGGAGAATCATAGGGAGTAGCTGAGAATTATTGAGGGTTGTGATCTGAAATCAATAAATTGGTTGGTTGCTTTATTTATTTACATGGATGTTTATGACTCTCGTGCTTCGTATTTGAAACCAAATTTCCTGATGTATCCTTCCTCATGCAGGTACCTACTTTGTTCTTTTCCAAACCTTTGGCTGAAACAGTGGTGGCGACAATAGAGAATCTCCTCTTGAAAACAGCTACTCTGGTTTTTATTTTTAAGAAAATAGAGAAGTTGTGATTTTACAGCAAGTCATATGATGAGTTAGCTATCTATTAAAGGGTCCCCAGTAGCATCACCCTATGTACGACATTTGGCCTAATTATTGCCAATATTTACAGGAAGGGGGATGTGGGTAAGTGGGAAATTCCAACCACAAGAGAAGATATGCAATCATCACCTGTGCTACAGTTGGACCACAAAGGAAAGGGGGGGGGTCGGCTGCAAGGTATTGGAAGATATAAGAATGTCCATTAACAAAGGGTGGGGCATGCCACCCACTGCCTGCGTGCCCTGTGGTGTGTTGTGCCCTGTCGCTCTACTCAGCTGAATAAAGGAACAGTTAGAGGATCTCCTCTTTGTCTTGTTGATTGGCATATCCCAGAGAAAAACAAAGGAAAGAGGACTCAGCTAGCGAAACCCAACACTATGGTTTTTTTAAAAAAAAATATTAGGAAAATAAAGAAGCTGTGATTTTACAGAAAATCAGATGACAGGTTCATTTCTACTCTTTGTATACTGGTGGCCTCCAGAGGAGGACTGAATTCCATTTCTGGAGTATAACACCCCACATTCCGGAAGGCCTCTCCCCAAACACACCAATCTGCAAAACTCTAGCGCCCTACAGATGTGGTAGAACAGAACTCCCACCGTAGAGTTCTGAAGTTCTGGGAGTTGTAGTTCAAATAAATCTGGAGGGCATGAGATTGTGGAAAGCCAACCTAGGCCAGAAGTTGGGAATGTTGCTCTGTCTGGACGACCACCCTCTGTCTCCTTCACATCTCCCAGCTGGCAGGGCCCATGGCCTTACTGGGTTTGGGATTCCGGGCACTGTGGTGGAAATAACTTTCTGACCATGGACAAAATCCTGTTCACGCTGATCTCATCACCAGAGAACTTCAGGGCTGAAAGGGACCCGATGTATCACTGAGTCCAGCCCTTAAGGAGGCACAGCGGGGAAGGGTTTATTTCTTCCACTTTCCAGCCCTTCTGGGGAAATGGAATTAAAAAACACACACACTGAGAGCAAAGAGATGAAAGTCTGTGGATTCCTAGGTCTGATCCAGCTTATGACAAATAATCCACAACCCGTCACAGTGAAAGTAAAGAGTCAACACTCAAGCGTGATCTTTCCGGCTTCTGCTAAAGATGCTCTCAGAGTAACTTATCCCTATGCACACATGCCAGAGATATGTGTCTGTGCATGCACAGGAGCCATAAGAGACCAGTCAGACTGAACAAATACCTAAGGGTTGTGTTGAAGAGACATAGCAGAGCAAACATCAGAAGCTGGTGTCAAGCACGCAGGGTCCAGCCAGTGGGCATGGAGGTGACCATGGATCTGGCCTGAAACCATCCCATTGCCCTCACAGAGACAGGAAACTAGAGCATCTCTGTGGAAGACCCTTGTCATGACGAGGAGGTTGGCACCTTCATGCCCCAGTGCTTGACCTTAGCTGCCTAGAGTGGTCCTCACCGACCAGATAGGCGGGGTAGAAATAAAATAAAATAAAATAAATAGAAACTGGCAGACACAGGAGTTCGCCTGAAGAAAGAACCAACGGCTAGGAACGGGTAGAAACCAGCTTTATCTGACTGTGAGACAGGAGATCCTTAGGGAAAGTACAAGCTGGGCATCCCGGGCGTTCTGGGGTGAGACATTTGAGGAGAGCACCAAGGACCCAGGCTCGATCGATCTAGCAGGTGCTTAGATTCTGACGTGCAATTAATTCCGCTGTCCATTGTGGTCCAGTTCTGCTCTCCGTTCGCTCATCGGCAAAGTGATCTGCTATCAAAGGACCAATTATGCAAACAAATCCCAAGGATCGCCCATGTGGAGAACATCTACCAGAAAAAGCCAAAGGCACATTAAAGGTGACCCAGCTCTGGAACTGAGATCATATTATTGTCCATTTGTTGTTGAGGTGACGTGATCCAGGCAGTCTCTCGCAGGTGAGAAATCAGTTTTCTCAAAGCAGGACATGTTTATATCCTGAACACCAGCCACATAACAAAGCAAACAAGTTATGTGAGATAAGGAAATGGCCTGCTGGGACAGTCACACACATTCCCCTACTAAATAACTCTGTCTTCTAATGATGTGCTGTCTATAAGGTGTAGTCCAGCCCAAAGACTGTCTTCCTGCCCAGACCACGGACAGTCAAGGAGGCTTCCAGGCTCTCCGGACTCTGTCCTGCTCCAGGGACTAATTAGGGGCAACCCAGCTCCTTCTTCCACTTAACATACACAATTTATCATCGTGTATGTTAAGTGTCCTCTACCTGAAATATTATTTCACTCTCCGCTCCAAACACTGGACACACTGGTGGTGGTTTGTGGGATTATGGACCTGTGGCTTCAAATGGCCCTTTGAGGCTTCTTGTCTGATTTAACAACACACTCACACAATCAGCCGGTATCACTAAAAAGCAGGGGTGGGGAGGCGAGCCATGGGACTCCCTGTCGAAACAGACTAAAGTCGCTCTGGTCACTCAACTCAGACTCAACTTGGGTTTCTGTTTTTTTCAAAGACTTGGAAAAAAAGCACACACTCCCTGCCCTTTTTTTCTGGGGAGAAACGCTTGTTTTTAATAGGGCCTTGGGACTTGGACTTGAAGGCTCAGATCTGGACTTGGGACGCAGACCCAAAGATTTGCCAACGTCTCTGGCAAAAGAAATTAAAATTCATAGTTTCTTCAAATGGTCAGGCGTAAAAACACAATCAGAAGGTGACTTAAGAGCCGTGCAATGGTGTATCTTGGGTCTCTCTATTCCCTGCATAGCGGTTGCTCCAGTCTGGGAGGGAAACCACGGCTGGGACTAGTTATGGGTCTCTTTCTCCTCTACCTCTCTAAGGTCTGTGCACTAGGCCACATTTCCTCTCCTTCAGGCACCACCAGACCCCCACACAGGCATGGAGAAAGAGAGATGCTCTTGACGGCCAAGGTGGGATGTCTGTTGAGCTCTGCTCCATCGTGCCTGATGGAAAGCCACAGACACAAACACCCCACGTGGGAGGATTCCCCCCCCCCGAGATCCCTCCTTCTTTCTTGCCCCTACGGCTCTATCGCCTGCAGATTCCCAGGACAGGAACCTCTCTAAGGTCTGCTCACTAGGCCACATTTCCTCTCCTCCAGGCACCACCAGACCCCCACACAGGTACAGGGGGAGAGAGAGAGAGATGCTCTTGACGGCCAAGGTGGGATCTGGAGGTCCTTTCTTTGGAAGCTCAACAGACCGGCCGTCCTGCCTGTTCCTTCCCAGGCTGCCCTCCTCCCCACCTGGTTGCACCCTGAGCCCCAGCTGGCAGGGCACTGGAGGGGAGGAGCTGCCCCTGAGTCTCCTTGCGGGACCAGCCGGACCTCCGCCTCTCCGCTTCCTGATGGGAGGAGAGAGACCCCCCAACCTCCACCATCGCTCTGCAGGGACAGCGTCTAGAGGTGAGTCTCTTCACAATCTTGTCTGTGAAACATGTCGGAAGAAGAACTCGCACATAGAAAGTGGAAAACCGGAGGGGACTGGCAAGCAGGAGAGGGACTCCTCTGCTCATTATGCCAAGCCCTTCCTCAGGAAGAGCAGGCAGAGTTTTTTTTTGTGTGAAACATGTCGGAAGAGGAACTCTCACATAGAAAGCGGAAAACCGGAGCGGACTGGCAAGCAGGAGAGGGACTCCTGTGCTCATTATGCCAAGCCCTTCCTCAGGTAGAGCAGGCAGAGTTTTTTTTTTTAATCAAAAGCAATCGTGGGAGGAGTGCAGAGGTTGGATTCCCCTGCCCTGCAAACATGGCAAAAATTCTCCTTAAGGACACAAAGATATTTATCGAACCATGTTCTTACGTTTTCTCAAAAAATTGGGGTGGGGGACATGAGTGGAGGGCTGGGGAGGGGGCTCATAAGGTTCCCAAATGCTGCCTGTTTGATTTTCTAATGGAAGCAGTGCTCTAAGGCCCCCTCTTCGACCAGGGGCACTTTGACCAGGGGAGGTGATGTGGACTGAACCGAAGAGGGCTGGAACAGGAGGGGAGCACTGCATCTAAGCAAGCCAGGGCTGCTTCTCTCATCCAGACCTTTGGAAAAGGGAATTAGTCTCTGTGCCAGAGAGTGGGAAAATAAAGTGCAAACTGCATGGGAAGCTCCTGCTGTGACAATTCCACCTCTTTGAGGGTTGTCCGCACTGTACCATCCAGCCCTGAGAGTCTTCAGGCTAACTTCGTGGTCAGCCTCCTTCCCAGCTTGCCTACGGTTGAGAGGAAAGGCAAACCCAGCAGGTTTGGGGGTTTCTTCAAATGCACCTTTTCTCTCTTCTCAGATACGGTAACCTCTCTCCTTCCTGATGGATGCTGAGAATCAGACGCAGATCAGAGAGTTTAAACTCTTGGGATTTCCCAGCCATCCAAGCTATCAGATCACCCTCTCCCTCTTGTTCCTGGCCACCTACGTGGTGACTGTCATGGGCAATCTCACTATCCTAACCCTGGTCATCCGGGATTCCCGTCTCCACAGCCCCATGTACTTCTTCCTCAGCCATCTCTCCTTCTTAGATATTTGCCTGTCCTCCACTGTGGTTCCCAAGATCTTGGTGAACGTTGTGCGCCAGAGACACACCATCTCCTACAATGGGTGCCTGGCGCAGGTCTTCTTCCTGATCGGCTTTGCTGGAACTGAACCTGCCCTGCTGGCCATCATGGCCTACGACCGCTATGCTGCCATTTGCCGGCCTTTGCACTACACCCACCTCATGAGTAGAAGGCTATGTAACCAATGCACTGCAGCCATTTGGTTCTGGGGTTTCCTGGACGCAGCAGTTCATGCGGCTGTCGCCTCCAAGCTGTCGTTCTGTGGGGTCAGCCAGATTCCCCACATCTACTGTGATGTCCCACCACTAATAGAAATTGCTTGCAGTGACACACATGTTAACGAAGTGATTAATCACATCACAAGCACTTTTGTGGCCCTGGTGCCCTTCCTCTTCATCTTCATTTCCTATCTCTACATCCTGGCCTCCATCCTGCACATCCGTTCCAGCACCGGCCGGCGCAAGGCTTTCTCCACCTGTGGGTCCCACATCACCGTGGTCACCCTCTACATTGGAAATGCGCTTCTGAATTACAACCGCCCCATCGCTGGCTACTCTTTGGAGGTCGACACTCTGGTCTCCACCATGTTCTGCATCGTCACCCCCATGCTGAACCCCCTCATCTACAGCCTGCGCAACCAGGAAGTCCGGGAAGCCCTGAGGAAGGTTCTGCATCACCAGAGGATACGTTAACATGTAACAGGAATGCTGGTTTTTAGGTTTTTAATGTTTTTGATTTTTTTTTTACTTGATAATAAGGACCCTTAATCTATGTTTAAATGTTTCTTAAATGTGATATTTATACACTACTTTTACATTTGTTGTTTTATCTGTTGGGAACTGCTTTGGTTCCCCTGTGGAGAGAAAAGTGGCATATGAATGAATGAACAAATGAATATCTGTCTGTCTATCTGTCTATCTGTCTATCTGTCTGTCTATCTATCTATCTACTGTATCTATCTACTGTATCTATCTATCTATCTATGTATCTATCTATGTATCTATCTATGTATCTATCTATGTATCTATCTATCTGTCTGTCTGTCTGTCTGTCTGTCTGTCTCTCTCTCTCTCTCTCTCTCTCTCTCTCTCTCTCTCTACCTATCTATCTACCTATCTACCTATCTACCTATCTACCTATCTACCTATCTACCTATCTACCTATCTACCTATCTACCTATCTACCTATCTACCTATCTACCTATCTACCTATCTACCTATCTACCTATCTACCTATCTACCTATCTACCTATCTACCTATCTACCTATCTACCTATCTACCTATCTACCTATCTACCTATCTACCTATCTACCTATCTACCTATCTACCTATCTACCTATCTACCTATCTACCTATCTACCTATCTACCTATCTACCTATCTACCTATCTACCTATCTACCTATCTACCTATCTACCTATCTACCTATCTACTATCTATCTATCTATCTATCTATCTATCTATCTATCTATCTATCTATCTATCTATTAATCCCAGTGGCCTAGAACATTCCACGCTGGGAGATATCTATCCTAAGTTTCCTTTCATGCAGGCTAACTTTACGATCTGTGGTCACTTACAGGTGTGCTCACATTAAGGTCATATCCAGGCATTACTGCACAAGAACAGGCATAGCATTTTGGGTCTGACTTGTAGCCTGACAAATGAAGTAGTTAATGCTACTACAAGAATCATGGTAGCTCTGCAGATGCTTTTATACTGTATAGATACTCAAAGTATTATTTGCTTCCATAACTTGCAGCATTCAGTTGAGCATATATTAGTTGATTTGAGTGATACCATTATTACCAATAATATTGACACTTCCCTATGGGATGGCTTTGCATACTACTAATGTATGGTATTATTTTCTAATAATTTGTATTGTCTTATATACCATTTTATATGATGTATTCCTTCATTGATTAATGTTTTCACTAAATGATGTCAAACATCTGTACAATCAGTGTCTTTATCTGCTAAGCAATTGTATCAATTCTAATATCATGTGTGCATTTCTAGAGTAGGTGAGGATTTTTATGATGAGGCTGATGCACGATATACGGGTTGAGATGACATGGCTGTTGCCCTCCATCAATGAAGAGCTTCCATGGACTCAGAAACCATCAGGAGTCTTACTGGCAGCAACTTGCTCATCCAAAATGAAATAAAAACGGAGGGAATGTGGGAAGTTTTAGTCTAAAGTTCCATCTTGTGGCTATTAAGGGATACATCACTGGTGTTTAGCATAATCAAGCTATTGTAGTATAAAGATGCATTGTTCTATGATTCTCTCTCTGCGCATTGCAAGTCCCTGCAAGGACAGGATGACTGAGTAAATGGTCATGGTAAATCCATCAGTGTACATACTCTTTGTTGATTATTTAGCCGACATAAGGAATTTAGGGAAGACTTTTGAAATTATAAGAGGAAAGTACAAATAAGGGAGGTGCCCTATTGTACTGACAAGAACATTGGGTGAGTAGGCCTAGGTAAGAAGGAAGGAACTTAATGGGTCAGTTAGAACGACTGCAGGGAGGTTAGGAAAAGGGAACATATACCAAATAAGGCTAGAAATAAATAAGAGTCTGGGGTCTAATTAATATGGGGAATGGGAGATGCAAACAGGGCTGGGGCTTCACAGGATCAGTTTAGGCGCACCGGATAGGCTGTAAACCTTGGAGTACCTGACCAATGGGGAAACAACGGAGGAACCCTGCGGCCGGGAATAGGGGATAACTACCGAGCTAACCGTATTGATAGGTGTGCCTACCCATCTAGGACACCTGTTTTTGCAAAAGCGCTTTTTAATAAAAGACAGCTGCTTGCATTCATAGTTGTCTGGTCACAGCTTTTAAGGAACAAGGGTGTGAGCATTTCTCAGGGAAGGAAGGAAGGAAGGAAGGAAGGAAGGAAGGAAGGAAGGAAGGAAGGAAGGAAGGAAGAGAAGGAAGAGAAGGAAGAGAAGGAGGGAGGGAGGGAGGGAGACCTGCACCTCTTTGAGCCCTTCTTAGGAGCAGCTGCAGGTAACTTTTGCTCTGTTTTCCTTCAGTTCCAGTGAGTTTGATCATTAAGATTAAACCAAACTGAGGATATGGCTTACAGTTTATGGCCAAACTGATGGAGTAAATCAGCATGTGAAACAAACACTCTGAACAGAAGAAATTTCTGTCAAGCATCCCACTTGTCCCCCAACGCTTTGGAAGTTCTGGAGGATGCTGGAGGAATGGGGAAATGGCTTTGTCTTGGGAAAGAGAGTGAATGCCGTCTTTCTGGTCTGAATGCGGCCTCCCTTCGCTCTCTAGGGCTCTCCCGTTGCTTTTGATTCCAAACTTGGCTGCTCAGAAACCCAAAGGGAAATTAGTTTTTCCCACAGCCCTCCCCATGCAAACATTTTCTCCAGGGGCCTTTGCCCAGGTTCACTTTAAGGAAAGCAACGACCGTATTTTCTGATGCCTTTGCCTCTGCCTACAAAGGAGGAGGTTTGAGTGTCTGTGATGCCCAAACGCCCGGGAGCAGCAAGACATTAAGACCGACCCCTTCGCAAACTCTATTTCCAGCCATTCCCAACCAGAGCAAAGGTGGGGGATCCTCCACCCCCACCCCACCCCCGTGCTCTTCTTCCCTTCTTCCCCGTGAATCCTGCACTGTGGATTCCTGCGCTAAAGGCAGCTGGAAGAGGCACCAATAGAGCTTGCCGGTCCCCAAACCCTTCTGAGAGGAGTGCCGCGACCCAGCTTTCTTCGGCAGGTAAGTAGCATAATAAATAAATAAATAAATAAATAGATAGATAGATAGATAGATAGATAGATAGATAGATAGATAGATAGATTAGATAGATAGATAGATAGATAGAT